CTCCTTTGGGGGGATGCCCGGGTGATGGGTTGGGCGGCCACAGCCTGATGGGTGCTCATCTCTCATGTCCCTCCACAGCTGACGCCCTGCGCTGCCGGCTCTGCAGCTCCTTGCAGCCAGGGATGCCCTGCATGCCCCAAAAAATGAGCTGCAACTCCCAGCCGCCCAAGGCAGCCTGCCTCTCCGTCACCATCTCCTACGGTAAGGACCCAGGCGTTCGGCTGCCCTTGTCTCCTTTCTCCGCTAGGGGCTCTGCTGGCACCCATCCAGAGGCAAGAGCCTCCCCCCACTCACTTCTGTCTAAAACTCTTACTCCCCCCCGCTTCACACCCCTCACCTTATCACCCACCCACATCTGAGAGGAGATGGTTAGCTCCACCTACAGCGTTGGCCACACCCACTCAAAACCAATAACCACACCCCTTTCCTCCTTGGGTTATTACTGGCCTCTCACCTTCCATTGCTGGCCCATCAGAGTCTGAGCTGGCCCTGCCCACTCTGTTTGCCGCACCCACCTAGAGGCCGTAGACCCGCTACCCCCATCCTTCCAAGACATGGCTTGCATTATCTGGACCACAGCCCATGGCATAGCTTTAAACTGCATCCCATCCCCCCGGCCATTCTTTATAGGACCCCCATGGCTCCACCTCCTTTGCCTCCAGCCAATCAGCACCTCCACTGTTCCATGCCACCTAGGGACACTGTTATCTTTCTCCCCCACTCCAATAACCTCCCTTCCTCCTGCACACACTAGCACACCTTGATCCCACCCAACTCTCCGCACGGGATGGGATCCAACCACTGAACCCCACATGCTGCTAAACCCTCCTGAGGCTGGGCAGTGACTGATCATTTCTTCCCGCTCTGGCTCTCTCAGGCACACTCCCAGGTGCACCCCATCTCCTACACGCATGTTGGCAGTGGGGACCCTGCAGATCGTCTGCCTAGGCCTCGAAACCAGTGTCTCTGCCCTACCGAGCCCCTCAGTTACTCAGACACATTCCCTGGGAGTCCACCTGAATGGGAGAGTTATGGTTTCTCTAACACACACACACACTCTTTTTTTCATCTAGGCGGACTCCTGTATAGCTAAGCTTGGCAGACTTCAATTTTTATTTTTTTATCATTTTGACACATAATATCAATGTTTATTTTTAAGCATCTTTATATCTATTTAAATTTTCACAGTTGTGCAAAATTTGGGGTTTTCAACATTTTTTCCCCAATTTTTATCGATTTAAATGTTCACAGTTGCAGGAAATTGGAGGGGTTTCAGACAATAAGGGAGGGGTTGGACAATCATTATTTCCTGACAGTAGTTGTTGAGATTTGAAAAGCTAAAGCTTTTATAACCCATAAAACACAAATTGTCAACATCCCATATCGAAATGTATAATGGAAATAGCCTTAAAGCAAACTCTGATAAGTTTGTAAGCAGCAGTTTTCTTACTTTGACTGTCTACAAATTTCACTTATCATTAGAAATGTATTTTGTCGGTTTATGTGTGTGTGGTGAAATGGACATTTACAGATAAAAATAGAGTCTTTCCAAACCTGTACATAACACAGGCTGTGTTGTTCACCCCATGCTCTGAACCTCTGATGGCTAAAAGCTGGGACCGAGGATGGATCACTTGATCATCGTCCTGTTCTGGTCATTGCCTCTGAAGCATCTGCTGCCAGACACTATAGGAAGACAGGAGACTGGGCTAGATTGACCATTGGGCTGACCCAATATGGCCGTTCTTATGGTCATACTCTGGGTGACCCTTAACCTCTGACTGCCAGGAGCTGGGAGTGGATGACAGGGGCTGGATCACTCAATAATTGCCCTGTTCTGTTCATTCCCTCTGAAGCCCCTGGCATTGGCCACTGTCGGAAGACAGGACACTGGGCTGGATGGACCATTGCTCTGGCCTAGTGTGGCCGTTCTTATGTGATCACTCAGTGCGTAAGCAAGCGCTCTGGTTTCTTCGAGGCCCTGCTCCAACTGGCTGCACAATGCCAAGAGCTTTGCAGGCAGCATCCCGCCGGGTCTCTCTGTCTGGGAAGCTCGGCCCTCAGAGGCACAGTCCCCCAGCCGACCCGGGCCGCCCATTCTGTGTCACCCTCCCCATACCCACTGGGGGAGGGCTTGTGTCCCTTTCATCCCACCGGGGGAAGCTAAAGCGGCTCAACTCGCTAGTGCAGGCGAGATGGGAGCCGCTGGCTCACCCCTGCTCTCTCTGCCTCCCCCCTTGCAGGCGGCCAGGTGGAGCAGAAGATGCTGGGCTGCATCCAGGCGGATAACAAGAAGTGCGGCCTGACGTGGGATGACCCGGAGACCGGGCGTCACGCCGAGTACAAGTGCTGCTCCAGCGCCGACCACTGCAACGAATAGGGGCCCCGGCTCCGGCCTGCGGCGCCCCCAGGGTGGGGGGGCGGTGGTAGTGCAAACTGGGTGCTCGCGCCCCCCAACTGTCGCTTCCAGCCCCCCCAGCAGGGTCAATACAGCTGAGTCCAGAGCCCTGGTGTCTGTGGGGTTCATTTCAATCGGGGGCATCGTGAGCTCTGAAAACACCCACACCCACATGGGAGGGGACTCAGGGCAGTGGGAAGGAGGGAGGTCAGCTTGGTACGCTCCACATGGAGGGGGAATATGCATTTGGTACATTCGACAAAGGGGGTATGCATTTGGTACATTCCACAAAGATATGGGCATGAAATTGGTACATTCCACAAAGAGAGAAATATGAATTTGGTACATTCCACAAAGGGGGTATGAATTTGGTACATTCCACAAAGGGGGTATGAATTTGGTACATTCCACAAAGAGCTGTGTGAACTTGATATATTTCACAAAGGTGGAGGTATGAATTTGGTACAGTCCACAAAGGGGTGGCTATAAATTTTAGATGCTCTACAAAGGGTGGATATGAAATTGGTACATTCCACAAAAGTGTGGGGGGGTAATGAATTTGGTACATTCCACAAACGGGGATGGGGGCTATGAATTTGGTATGCTACAAAAAGGGGTATGAATTTGGTCCATGCCACAAAAGAGCGGCTGTGAATTTGGTATGCTCCACAAAGGGGGGTATGAATTTGGTACATTCACATTCCACAGAGAGGGGATGACTTTGGTACATTCCACAAACGGGGGGATGAATTTGGTACATTCCACAAAGAGGGTATGAGTTTGGTACGCTCCATATAGAAGGAGACGAGAGAAGGAGCGGCCATTTCTGGTCGGGGCAGACCCACTTCCTGCCTTCGAATGTCAACTTCTGGAAGGCGCTGGCTGGCGTCACTTCCGGTGAGGGCGAAGAGCCCTGTGAAACGTCGGCGCAGGGACTTCCGCTCTGTGGCCGGAAACTCCGGCACCCCTCCTCCCTCACCTCCGTACAGTTTCCGCTCGGGGCGGCCTTAGCCTCCGTGTCGTCACTTCCGCCCTGGGCCCAGACCGGGGCGGCCCTCGGCTCCTGTGTCCCCACCGGGAGGAGGAGGCGGGCGGAGGTGAGTGCGGGGGGGTTTCTGTGAGACCCACCGTCATTATCCCTCCCCCCAACCGCGGGGAGAGAGACACCCCCCGTCAGCGGGGACCCGCCCCGCGAGAGACCCCGCATCCGACTGCCGCTCCCACCCACGGGGGGGAGACACCCCCGGTCTCAGGAGAGGCGCCCCCCCCCACACACACACACACAGCCCCGCCCCTCCCTGGGTTCCAGGAGGGAGAGAGCCCCTCCCCCCATCCCAGGAGAGACCCCTCCCCCTGCCTCACATTCATGGGAGATAACCCCCCACCCCACAATCAGGGCAGAGACTCCCCCAGAAACACCCCCCACCAGCAGGCGTCAGCCGAGCACTGGGGTATTCTCGGATTCACTGCTTCCAAAGAAATGGTGCCCCCCGCCCCCCATCGCCAGCTTACCAGTTCCACCTCTGCTCTTTCACACAGCCCCAGAGATCAACTGTAATAATTCATCCCCCACCTCCCTGTCCTTGCCCCACACACTAATTGCCATGCAGAGAAATAGCATCCCTAGGGCAGTGGGTCTCAACCTTTCCAGACCACTGTACCCCTTTCAGGAGTCTGATTTCTCTTGCCTGCTCCCAAGTTACACCTCACTTAACAATGACTTGCTCACAAAATCAGACATGAAAATACAGAAGTGTCACAGCCCCTAGTACTGAAAAATTGTTGACTTTCTCATTTTTACCATAAAATTATAAAATAAATCAATTGGACTCTAAATATTGTACTTACATTTCAATGTACAGTCTATAGAGCAGTATAAACAAGTCCCTGTCTGTATGAAATTTTAGTTTGTACTGACTTTGCTAGTGCTTTTTATGTAGCCTGTTGCAAAACAAGGCAAATATTGAGATGAGTTGATGGAAGATCTCTGCGTACCCCTGATTGAGAACCACTGCCCTAGGTTTTCCTGTTTCTTCTTCCCAATATAGTGAGTCCACCTCGCTAGTTCTTCCCCAGCAACTGCAGAGGCCCCCCAGTCTCCACCACAAGTGCCATGCAGGCCTGCACTCAATTAAACAGAAATCACTTAAAAAAAAAAAATCTGTTCTGGTAACACCCACTTAACTCAAATGCCCAGTCAACAGGTAGGAGGGAAGTTCTGTGGTAAAGATTTGTTGCTTGGTGTAAACCTTTCTGCTATTAATAGTCTCTTGTGAGGAAAAAATTGGGGTAAATAAGATCAGGATTTCTAAATAAAATTATTTTATTTGACCCCACGAACTCCCTTTGCAGGCTGCCTTCTTCATAAACAAGCAGTTTTAAGAGTGAGCAGAAACCCAGTTAATTTTGTCCTTCCCTGGTGGCTTCAAAATCTGTGCTGTGGAGGTAGAAAAGCGTATCGTGAATTACACCTTGGATAGGAAGCATAGTCCAGTGGACTGGGAATCAGAACTCAGGTCTCCTGCTCCTGGCTCTGCCGCTGACTTTGGACAAGTCAGATTCCCTGGCTGTTCCTCCATTTCCACCTCCCGTCCTATCTAGTTAGACTGTAAACTCTTCAGGTCTGGGACTGACTCTTATGATCTCTTTGTACCAGGGTCCCTGATCTCTAGGTATTAGCATAATAAATAATAACAAACTTCCCCCTAAGGCCTTAATGTAATGAAATTGTCAACACCCAGGGGCAGGGGCCTCTTGTGTAGCGTTTGTCTGTACTATGCCACCTTTATTCTTAATAGGCTATCTCCAAGGGAAATAATAAGGTTAGTGAGACTCATAAGTGTAGGGCTGGAAGGGACCTCAAAAAATCATCAAGTCCAGCCCCCTGTGCTGAGGCAGGACCAAGTAAACCTCTTAGACCATCCCTGACAGGGGTTTATCCAACTTGGCCTTAGAAACTTCCAGTCATGGGGACTCCACAACCTCCTTTGGAGGCCTGTTCCAGAACTTAACTGCCCTCCGAATTCAGTTTTCTAGTATCTAATCTAAATCTCCCTTGAAGCAGACTAAGCCCATTACTTCTTGTCCTTTCTTCCGTGAACATGGAGAACAATTGATCACATTTGTCTTTATAACAGCCCTTAACATTTGAAAACTATTAGCAGGTCCCCCTTCTGTTTTCTCTTCTCAAGACTAAACAGGCTGAGTTTTTTTAACCTTTCCTCATAGGCCAGGTTTTCTGAACCCTTTATCATTTTCTCTTCCAACTTGTCCACGTCATTCCCAAAGTGTGCCCAGAATTATACACAATACTCCATCTGAGGCCTCACCAGTGCTGAGTCAAGCAGACAATCACCTTCCATGTCTTACATATGACACTCGTGTTAATGCAATCCAAGAAGCAATCTCTTGGGCTCTAGGCATTTGGGGATAGCTGTTCCAGGATTCCCATGGTGCACTAGTCAATGTATGGACAAAGAGGTTGATTTTTCTTCAGTGTCTTTGGGTGGTAATTGAGATCTAGTTCTTGTTGTCAGTTTTTTGTTGCGTGTGTTCTCTCTGTGTGCTGTACCGACTGGCCAGGTAGACGGCAGAGCAGACCTCCATCGAACTGCCCCAAAAGACCATAGACTCAGGTGCTTGGCCAGGTGTATTGCCGACAAAGCACGGTACTAGCACCCCATAGACTCTACAGGAATACTACTATATGTACACCCATGACAAAGGACCAGCTCAGTCAGTGGCGGGTCTTACCACTGCCCCATAGGCCGGACAAAGGGTTAAGGTGAGGTACCTCAACTTTTATAGACTGAGACAAACAATCTGGGATAAGGAACTTGCGTGTCACTTTACGTGTTTCATGACATGTTTGTTACCTCCCCTTGTACCGTTCTCCTGTTGTTTCAGACAAAACATCCCTATTCACCACCCGTCTTTGTACTTTATTCCTCATGTTCCAGACAAAACACCCCCTTCTGTCAAACCATCTTGTGCCCAGCTGGGGTGTCCCTGTGCTGGCCTACTGGAATATGTTTACATATTCAGTGTGTTTTAGCAGTGCCAACTGTACCTGTGCCAAGTTTATGTACTGGACAGTGAATTTGCCGGCAAGCATCTGCTTTTTGACAGGGCCTGACTTTTGCTCATAGCATAACTTTTCCTGACTTTGGTTCAGGCCTCAGGTCTTTCACCAGGCCCATGCTTCAGGCTCTGTCTTCCTACTATAGTCCCCCTCCTTTTAGCTTTTTCCGGGGAGGATGTTTACCCATCATCCCGGAAAAGCGTAATGCATGAACTTCGGATGACCCAGAGGGCTATGATGACCCACCTTACATTACCATCCACACATTCATGCCCTGTCTGTCCTTTGGCCTGCACATTCCCTTGATTAGATTTTCATTTGCAGTGTCTTTAGTCCCCTATAGTGGGCCTGGGAATGTTAGGTCCGGGACTTTGGTTAAGGGATATAGTTTTAGGCATTATTACAATGTGTCCCATAGTGCTAAGTGTATGAGGAATAAAACAGAAATTTGGAGTAGTGACATCACAAGTGAGGTCTTCGTATATACACCTCTACCCTGATATAACGCTGTCCTCGGAGCCAAAAAATCTTACTGCATTATAGGTGAAACCGCGTTATATCGAACTTATTTTGATCCGCCGGAGCACGCAACCCCGCCCCCCCGGAGCACTGCTTTACCGCGTTATATCCGAATTTGTGTTATATCGGGGTAGAGGTGTACATTTTTTGTAATCCGTTACTATACAGTACTGCCCATCCATGTTATAGGTTACCCTTCCCCAATGGTAACATCCAGCAGTAAGTTTCACTGGGCAGGAAACGGTGGCTCGCTTTTCTGTACCATTCGTTTGTCCTTAATTATTGTGACTACACACTGGAGTTGTGATATCAACAACGTTCCTGGCATAACAAGCCACGGTGCAGTGCTCTATAGGTTTGCCTTGCTGCATGGTACATCAGTAGTTGATGTAGATCCAGTTGTTTCTTGTAAATGCTCTCTTCCAGATAAATTTATTACTGTCCATTAAGTACGTTATCAAGTATTGCTGTGTCAGAGATTTAATATTGGAACAAGATTGTATTAA